TAGCTGGGAATTATGGCGGGGAGGTGAGGGGGGGGAGGGGACATGAGGGAGGGAGGTAGAAGGAGGTGAGGAAGATGAGGGAGGTAGAGACGTGAGTCAAGGGGGGGGGGTCACATCAAGGGGTCTTCTCGTCCAATATATTCTTGTCTATCTTCACTATTGTCTCCAGCTTGCAGCATGTCCAGCATGACATGTATTGAACATGTTGTGTCACATGTTTGTTTGTGTCAGGGGACAGGTGCTTGTCTAAGTTGTCACTGAATGTAGTTTGTCGGTGTTGACATTGTCTCTTCACTAATTAGTGCAGGAAACGAGCGCTTGTGGTTCCCGTAACAGCCTGGCTGAACAACCCTGCCTCCCACGGTGGCCTGTCAACACAACTCTACACAAACATGTAGCCACGATATGTAGAGTAATTCGCCTCATTTTATCTTACGGGCTCACCATAGCCCGTGCTACTTGGAACTTTGTTCCAGGTAGCCTCAAAATAACAATACACTTAGGGTATATTACACTCACAGTAGAAGTCTAAGAAACAAAATAAACAATTTAAATGCTCTTGTCTGCACAGAAAAAAATAGATATTATCGCGCTTACTGAAACGTGGATGAATGTAGAAAATAGAGAACTATTAGCTGAAGATCAAATAAATGGATTTAAACTATTTCACACAGATAGATATATTAGACGAGGAGGGGGAGTAGCCATATATGTTAGGGACAATTTGAAATGTTGTCTCAAAGAGGGAATCAAAACTGAGCCACACACAGAAACTATTTGGCTAGAATTAAACGAAAAACTTAATGGCATAACAGTTTTTAAATTCTTAATGGCTGTTAAGCCTAATTGAAAGTTCTGATATATTTTTAGTGTAGGCATTATATATTATTTGACTAGGAGCATAGCTGTAGCAGCATGTGTGTGTTGAGAGTGTGTAGAGGAGTATGGTGGTGTCGGGCCAGGCCTGCTGGCGCTCTCCGTGTCCCACAACAACACCAATATTATGACCAACCTGGGCCACAATTGTCCTCACGCACCATCATATCGCCTGTTTTATATTTCATGTATACTCCTGTTATCTTGTGTGTGGAATACTGCGGTGTGGGAAGGCGGTGTGGGAAGGGGGTGTGGGAAAGGGGTGTGGGAAGGGGGTGTGGGAATTGGTGTTAGTTGTTATTGATGGTGGTCGTTCAAGGGGAGGGGAGTTATGAACCGACTAGAGAGACGGCACACACCGGCATCGTCTCTGTCAGTGTGTGTGTGTGTATGTGTGTGTGTGTGTGTGTGTGTGTGTGTGTGTGTGTGTGTGTACTCACCTAGTTGTATTTGCGGGGGTTGAGCTCTGGCTCTTTGGTCCCGCCTCTCAACCGTCAATCAACAGGTGTACAAGTTCCTGAGCCTATTGGGCTCTATCATATCTACACTTGAAACTGTGTATGGAGTCAGCCTCCACCACATTGCTTCCTAATGCATTCCATTTGTCAACCACTCTGACACTAAAAAAGTTCTTCCTAATATCTCTGTGGCTCATTTGGGCGCTCAGTTTCCACCTGTGTCCCCTAGTGCGTGTGCCCCTTGTGTTAAATAGTCTGTCTTTATCTACCCTATCAATTCCCTTCAGAATCTTGAATGTGGTGATCATATCCCCCCCCTAACTCTTCTGTCTTCCAGCGAAGTGAGGTTTAATTCCCGTAGTCTCTCCTCGTAGCTCATACCTCTCAGCTCGGGTACTAGTCTGGTGGCAAACCTTTGAACCTTTTCCAGTTTAGTCTTATCCTTGACTAGATATGGACTCCATGCTGGGGCTGCATACTCCAGGATTGGCTTGACATATGTGGTATACAAAGTTCTGAATGATTCTTTACACAAGTTTCTGAATGCCGTTCTTATGTTGGCCAGCCTGGCATATGCCGCTGATGTTTTTGTTGCCTGGTCGTAGAATTCATGTAACCCTGTGAATCAGGACCTGCCATCCCTGAACCCATGTTGATGCTGTGTTACAAAGTTCCTTTGTGTACTCACCTAGTTGTACTCACCTAGTTGTGCTTGCGGGGGTTGAGCTCTGGCTCTTTGGTCCCGCCTCTCAACCGTCAATCAACAGGTGTACAGGTTCCTGAGCCTATTGGGCTCTATCATATCTACACTTGAAACTGTGTATGGAGTCAGCCTCCACCACATTGCTTCCTAATGCATTCCATTTGTCAACCACTCTGACACTAAAAAAGTTCTTTCTAATATCTCTGTGGCTCATTTGGGCACTCAGTTTCCACCTGTGTCCCCTAGTGCGTGTGCCCCTTGTGTTAAATAGCCTATCTTTATCAACCCTGTCGATTCCCTTGAGAAACTTGAATGTGGTGATCATGTCCCCCCTAACTCTTCTGTCTTCCAACGAAGTGAGGTTCAATTCCCGTAGTCTCTCCTCGTAGCTCATACCTCTCAGCTCGGGTACTAGTCTGGTGGCAAACTTTTGAACCTTTTCCAGTTTACTCTTATGCTTGACTAGATATGGACTCCATGCTGGAGCCGCATATTCCAGGATTGGTCTGACATATGTGGTATATAATGTTCTGAAAGATTCCTTACACAAGTTTCTAAAGGCCGTTCTTATGTTAGCCAACCTGGCATATGCTGCTGATGTTATCCTCTTGATATGAGCTTCAGGGACAGGTCTGGCGTGATATCAACCCCCAGGTCTTTCTCTCTCTCTGACTCTTGAAGTATTTCATCTCCCAAGTGATACCTTGTATCTGGTCTCCTGCTTCCTACTCCTATCTTCATTACATTACATTTGCTTGGGTTAAACTCTAACATCCATTTGTTCGACCATTCCTGCAGCTTGTCCAGGTCTTCTTGAAGCCTCAAGCTGTCTTCCTCTGTCTTAATCCTTCTCATAATTTTGGCGTCGTCAGCAAACATTGAGAGGAATGAGTCTATACCCCCTGGGAGATCATTTACGTATATCAGAAACAGGATAGGTCCAAGCACAGAGCCCTGTGGGACTCCACTGGTGACTTCCCGCCATTGTGTGTGTGTGTGTGTGTGTGTGTGTGTGTGTGTGTGTGTGTGTGTGTGTGTGTGCTCACAGTGACACAACAGTGTACACAGGTCTCTCACCTCTGGAATGCCATTACCACCACCGACACCCTGGGGGCGTCACCCCCCCACCATCATGCACTTCAATAAAGGTTATCTTGAGGCTGTGGTCATCCTGGCTGGACACACCATACCTCCAAAACCATAATACTATAATAATAATAATAATAATAATAATAATAATAATAATCCACACTGTAGCAACACTGTGGCAACACTGTAAAAATACAATTGTCTCCCTAAGCAGAAACATTGGAGCTCAGGCCACTTACAAATAACCTGTCTAGGTCCATGTTTTGAAAGCGTCAATATTACGATGGTTATATTTTGTACCAATACGTCTCAGTTGTCAACGGATTGATCGATAACGATAAAACTGGCGGGTATTGTGGGAGAGGATGGTGGGAGAGGTACCTTGTTATGCCCCACATGCTAACACTTGCAGTTTTCCATGTTAAAGTGTAGCATTTGTCAGTCTTTTGTCCTCTTGTGCAGGTGATAGATCTTAGTGTCATTTGCATATTTGGTAATGTGGTTCGTAATATTCTCGTGTGTGTTATTGATCTATGTAACGAAGTGGGTTGGCTCCAAGCTGGGCCCCTGAGGGACGCCTCTCGCCCCATTTATACAGGAAGATTCATTTCCATTTAAGCCGAACCATTATCACTCACATACTGGTCCAACCAACCCCATTTTTAAACCAATTAATCAAATTATGTGAACAGAAATACTAAACTAGTTTACTAACATTGGAGTAATACAGGTAGACTATACACAGGCCCTCGTAATACGCTGACTCCTTCTATACAGCTGATCAACTCTTATTTCTGAGTTGGTGTCAAATATTTATTTTCTGTAAACTGTTTGTGAAGTAAATTGTTGAAGTTGGGAGGCGAGCCGGGTACTGGCGGGGGCTAATTGTCTCAGGGAACCTTTACTCGTTTGCATGTAATTGGCAGATAAATCCTCAGTAAATAATTGAAATATTTATTAATATTGTAATTATTGGGGAGTTATAATGTTGATAATTGTAAGTTATTTATATAATGTTATTATCTGGAAGTTCTTCATTAGTTGAGTCCTGCAGGTTGGCACCACTATGAGTCTTTTTACACAGTGCCTTTACTCCAGCCCCCTCTCTCTCTCTCTCTCTCTCTCTCTCTCTCTCTCTCTCTCTCTCTCTCTCTCTCTCTCTCTCTCTCTCTCTCTCTCTCTCTCTCTCTCTCTCTCTCTCTCTCTCTCTCTCTCTCTCTCTCTCTCTCTCTCTCTCTCTCTCTCTTTCTCTCTCTCTCTCTTTCTCTCCCTAATAACTCCACAAAATGCATTTCGTTAACAAAATTACTCATTAAGCAGCGATGGGCTGCTCATTGCAGGGTCGGCGTTCAATCCCCCGATGAAGCAAGTGGTTGGGTACCGTTCCTTTCCTCTGGCCTCGTATCCCAGCTCCTTGTCCTCGTATCCCAGCTCCTAGTCCTCGTAGCCCAGCTCCTTGTCCTCGTAGCCCAGCTCCTTGTCCTCGTAGCCCAGCTCCTAATCCTCGTATCCCAGCTCCTAGTCCTCGTAGCCCAGCTCCTAGTCCTCGTAGCCCAGCTCCTAATCCTCGTATCCCAGCTCCTAGTCCTCGTAGCCCAGCTCCTAGTCCTCGTAGCCCAGCTCCTAGTCCTCGTATCCCAGCTACACTGGGTACTGCAGGTGCCCTCTACCAGAGGCTGACCCCTCGGGACGTGGGTAACAATGTGCCTGATATAGCGAGTTACGCTCTTCCGGGCTACATAAAACGGACATTGTCTTGCTGTTGCTTTACTTTTATGTTCCTTTTAACAGATACAAGATTCTTTCCTCCGGCGGGAACACGACTCTCGCCTTCTCTTAGCTCAAAGTTTCCCGCCAATTCTCTTGTTCGCGCGCTAAACATTCTCGCCAAATTTTTTTCGCGTTTGGGTCAAAATGTTGATCTTTTTTCTTTGAAGTCTTTCTGCATGCTCGTACAGTGTTGCCAGACGTGTACTGTCTCCAGACTCGTACAGTGTTGTTAGACGTGTACTGTCTCCAGACTCGTACAGTGTTGTTAGACGTGTACTGTCTCCAGACTCGTACAGTGTTGTTAGACGTGTACTGTCTCCATACTCGTACAGTGTTGTTAGACGTGTACTGTCTCCAGACTCGTACAGTGTTGTTAGACGTGTACTGTCTCCATACTCGTACAGTGTTGCCAGACGTGTACTGTCTCCATACTCGTACAGTGTTGTTAGACGTGTACTGTCTCCATACTCGTACAGTGTTGCCAGACGTGTACTGTCTCCATACTCGTACAGTGTTGCCAGACGTGTACTGTCTCCATACTCGTACAGTGTTGCCAGACGTGTACTGTCTCCATACTCGTACAGTGTTGCCAGACGTGTACTGTCTCCATACTCGTACAGTGTTGCCAGACGTGTACTGTCTCCATACTCGTACAGTGTTGCCAGACGTGTACTGTCTCCATACTCGTACAGTGTTGCCAGACGTGTACTGTCTCCATACTCGTACAGTGTTGCCAGACGTGTACTGTCTCCATACTCGTACAGTGTTGCCACAGTGTACAGTGCCAGACGTGTACTGTCTCCATACTCGTACAGTGTTGCCAGACGTGCCAGTACGTGTACTGTCTCCATACTCGTACAGTGTTGCCAGACGTGTACTGTCTCCATACTCGTACAGTGTTGCCAGACGTGTACTGTCTCCATACTCGTACAGTGTTGCCAGACGTGTACTGTCTCCATACTCGTACAGTTCTGCCAGACGTGTACTGTCTCCATACTCGTACAGTGTTGCCAGACGTGTACTGTCTCCATATTCGTACAGCGTTGCCAGACGTGTACTGTCTCCATACAAGTGGTCTACTGGACATAAGACTTGATAATGGTCCAGGACGGACCGAAAGGTTGTCGTTTCTCCACCGTTATATATATATATATATATATATATATATATATATATATATATATATATATATATATATATATATATGTCGTACCTAGTAGCCAGAACTCACTTCTGAGCCTACTATGCAAGGCCCGATTGCCTAATAAGCCAAGTTTTCATAATTATGCTTTTCGACTACCTAACCTACCTAACCTAACCTAACCTAACTTTTTCGGCTACCTAACCGAACCTAACCTATAGAGATAGGTTAGGTTAGGTTAGGTAGGGTTGGTTAGGTTTGGTCATATTTCTACGTTAATTTTAACTCCAATTAAAAAAAATTGACCTCTTACATAATGAATGGGTTGCTTTATCATTCATAAGAAAAAAATAGAGAAAATATATTATTCATGAAAACTTGGCTTATTAGGCAAATCGGGCCTTGCATTGTAGGCTGAAAAGTGAGTTCTGGCTATAGGTACGACATATATATATATATATATATATATATATATATATATATATATATATATATATATATATAATATAATATAATATAATATAACATAAAAATAAATAAAATACTAGAATAAAATCAATATATTTATTCAGGGTATTTAATACCAGGATGATCGCGGCTGTTACATAACCCTCCCCCCCCCCCTTCCACCACCACCCCCAGCCCCCCCCCCCCTACCACATCTATTTATTTTAATTGTAGTAGTTGAGAAGGCAGCCACTGGGGGCGGGAGTAGTGAAGCATGTGAGCGTCCACTGACGGAACCTGTCCATCTTCCCTCAGTCATGGCCACTTACATGTATTAACCAGTTCAAGAGCGGCCTTATTCTACGAGGTTGTTTACAACAGTAACAACTCTGGCTTGTGAACCTTCCCAGCTTGTCAACTTGTGTAATAACTTCATACTAAGACATGATGATGTAGAAGAGATGTACGTGTTTCGTAATAGGCAGGTCAATGGTTGATGACTCCAGGCTGGGTTTTAATAAGTCATTCTTGGCGAGGCTCGCCACACCTCTGTTTTCTCTCGTTTAAGTCGTGTTTTACTCCCAGACTGAATAAAACAAACAATAAGATTTTTTCGTAAATAAAAATAAAACACCGATCCAAGAATTTTCAAGGAATGTTAATTGACCTAAAATGTGTGTGGCGTGTTTTAATGACTTTGTGGAAGACATAATCATTATTTAAATTCTTAGCATGCAAGAGGTGTGTGTGTGTATACTCACCTATTGGTGCCTGCAGGATCGAGCATTGACTCTTGGATCCCGCCTGTCTAGCCATCGGTTGTTTACAGCAATGACTCCTGTCCCATTTCCCTATCATATCTAGTTTTTAAATTATGAATAGAGTTTGCTTCCACAACCTGCTCCTTAAGTGCATTCCATTTTTCCACTACTCTCACGCTAAAAGAAAACTTCCTAACTTCTCTGTGACTCATCTGAGTTTCCAGCTTCCACCCATGTCCCCTCGTTCTATAAGTATTACCTGTGAACATTTCGTCTATTTCCACTTTGTCAATCCGCCTGAGTATTTTATACGTTCCTATCATATCCCCCTCTCTCCCTTCTTTTCTCTAGTGTCGTCAGGTTCAGTTCCTTCAGTCGCTCTTCATACCTCATCCTTCGTAACTCCCTCATTCCTCGTAACTCTGGGACGAGCTTCGTCGCAAACTTCTGAACCTTTTCCAGTTTCCTTATGTGTTTCTTCTTTATGTGGTGGGGACTCCATGATGAGGCGGCATACTCTAAGACTGGCCTCACGTAGGCAGTGTAAAGCGCCCTAAATGCCTCCTTACTTTGGTTTCTGAATGATGTTCTAACTTTTGCCAGTGTAGAGTACGCTGCTGTCGTTATCCTATTTATATGTGCCTCAGGAGTTAGATTAGGTGTTACGTCCACACCCAGGTCTCTTTCGCGCGTCGTCACAGGTAGGCAGTTCCCCTTCATTGTGTACTGTCCCTTTGGTCTCCTATCACCAAATCATATCTCCATAACTTTACTCTGTGTTGAACTCGTATTTCGGCTCGTGTTGAACTCCAGTAGCCATTTCTCTGATCATCTCTGCAACCTGTCCAGGTCCTCTTGAAGGATCCTACAATCCTCATCTGTCACAACTCTTCTCATTAATTTTGCGTCATCCGCAAACATTGACATGTAGGATTCTACTCCTGTAAACATGTCATTAACGTATATTAGAAATAGAATGTGTGTGTGTGTGTGTGTGTGTGTGTGTGTGTGTGTGTGCGTGTGCGTGTGCGTGTGTGTGTGTGTGTGTGTGCGCGTGCAGATCGAATCCCAAGACCATAATGGTGGTAAGGGGGGGGGGGAGAAGGGTGGAGTGAGGATGCAGGAAAACATGAAAGGGGTTAATGGTAGGGGATGGAGGAGGGGGGATACAGGTGGGTGGCCCAACCACTCTGGGTATTTTAGTGATACTGAGGTGTGGTGTTGGGGTGATGTGTGGTCTCACATGTCATCATTTGTGTATAGCTCGCTTGTTTTGTAATACGGTGGGATTAACTAATGAACACTAATGAATAATAAATGAACACTAATGAATAATAAACACCTGGTCTCCGCATTAGGTCCCGGAGAGCCGCGTATTCCCAATTTGAGTTCAGTGGTTTGTCGGGAAATTGGAGTTTGCTGGTTGGACTTCCATCTTCTGGTAATGGGACTTAGGTGAATATTGGGGCTCGTGGTTCTCTCTTCCTCGACAAGCTGCTCACAATTGTAGGTGTTGGCAAGCCCGAGTCGTCGATGTGTGTGTACGTAGTTTTTGCTGGAGGGACATCCTCCTTGTCCTGTGGGGCGGGCCGGGTATTTCACAGGTAGTTGTGTTATACATCACAAAGATGTCTTCACAGTTGGGGTAGATACATGCTCTTCACTGTGTGGTGGTGGTGGTTGATGGAGAGGGTGTGCAGGAGTACGGTCAGCGGGTCCGTCATCACCCCGGGGTGGGGGCTGTCGGTGCGCGCCCTCTCCATAAGCCGCACGTTAGCCACAAATCGCAACGCTCTGTTCTGGAGGCGCTGCAGCTTGAGTATGTTCGATTTTTTGGCTAGAGTGAGCGGGGTGGTGCGGGTACTCCAGGAGCGGCCTGATCAGCGGGCTGTAGAGGTGCAGTTTCACGTGTTGTGGGGCCTGGTGGAAGCTGTACAGCTGCCCGAGCTGCGCCTTGGTCATCGCTCACTTCTTGTTGATGTGTTCATTGGAGTTTAGTAGCCGAGATATGTCATAGTCTAAGATCGTGGTAAAGTGGTGTACCCGTGCCAGAGTGCCTCCAATAGTGACGGCCTCCCAGTGTGCTGGTCCAGCAGGCTATTAAACACAGGTGTATTTCACTTTGGTTAGTCACTATCTTCCACTCGTGTTCCCATCTGGTAGTGTTAGTCAGTTCCTCTTTGGCTGAGCCAGAAGCCCAACACCGACTTTTTTGTGATAACAGTGACCAACGACGTGTCCGTCCATCTTACAGAGCGAGGAGGTCTCAATAACATGACTGTAACCAACCAATACATAGAAGTATATTAACTGATGAAGATTAAGCCACCCTGGGATAGGGTGGTAATGTATCTGTACGAGTGACAAGTAGTTGTTTGCTTGTAGTTGTTTATCACCCTGTGTATAATTAGTATAGAATATATCACCCGTGAAATGAATATCAACGTCTTAAAAAAGTAACGAAATACCTTGTGACATACACCATGTGTGTGTGTATTGTCTTGGCGCAGTGACTGTATTACTAAACTAATCGGTTAAACAAGGTTGGGTCTGTACAGCAACTGGCTGGGTAACCACAAGACCAGCATAGTCCTTGGCTACGACGCCCTCCATAACACTAAGACGCTCTTGACCCCGACAATTGGAAATCAAACAACGATAAACAGACGTTTGACTTAATACCTGACAAATTAATTGTTTAAACAGTATCTGTGGTAAATTCCATCATCCCAACCAAGAGATGGCGCTGTAAGCAGTGGCAGCCGTCACATCCTACCATTAATAACACCTCCCCCAACCAAGAGATGGCGCTGTAAGCAGAGGCAGCCGTCACACCCTACCATTAATAACGTCTCCTCCAACCAAGAGATGGCGCTGTAAGCAGTGGCAGCCGTCACACCCTACCATTAATAACGCCTCCCCCAACCAAGAGATGGCGCTGTAAGCAGTGGCGGCCGTCACACCCTACCATTAATAACGCCTCCCCCAACCAAGAGATGGCGCTGTAAGCAGAGGCAGCCGTCACACCTTACCATTAATAACGTCTCCTCCAACCAAGAGATGGCGCTGTAAGCAGACGCGGCCGTCACACCCTACCATTAATAACGTCTCCTCCAACCAAGAGATGGCGCTGTAAGCAGAGGCAGCCGTCACACCCTACCATTAATAACGTCTCCTCCAACAAGAGATGGCGCTGTAAGCAGAGGCAGCCGTCACACCCTACCATTAATAACGTCTCCTCCAACCAAGAGATGGCGCTGTAAGCAGTGGCAGCCGTCACACACTACCATTAATAACTCCTCCCTCAACCAAGAGATGGCGCTGTAAGTAGGAGGCAGTCTAACAAGACGAGAAACTCTGTGTAAACAATATTATATGCTTGGCTGAGGTGAGGGAAAACACTGTTACTGAAGTCATTCATGAATGATGACGACCTCAAGATTGCTCGCTGGCTGGTGTTTGCTCACAGTAAACACTTACCACCAAGTGTGACTCAAGTGTG